ATAATACCTGTGTAATATATGTGTATTACATGTGTTATACCTGTGTATTACACGTGTTATACCTGTATATTTCCTATGTTATATCTGTATAATACCTGTGTAATATATGTGTATTACATGTGTTATACCTGTGTGTATTACACGTGTTATACCTGTATATTTCCTATGTTATATCTGTATAATACCTGTGTAATATATGTGTATTACATGTGTTATACCTGTGTATTACACGTGTTATACCTGTATATTACCTGTGTTATATCTGTGTATTACCTGTATTTGTGAGTTCTCGGCCCAGTTCACTCTTCAGCTTCCTCAAACTCTCAGTCTCCTGCTTCAAGCTGACCAGTGAATCCCTGAAACCTTCGGCCAGCTTCAGCACACCTGCGTGGTTTTCAGACAACACCTGTACAGGTGCAGCTCATCATTTAGCTCCTGTCTAAATCATTAAATCTTTCTGTGTTTGAACTGACCCGGGTCACCTCACCTGGATGATGCGGCTCTGTTCACCCTGCAGCTCAGTCATCCGTTGGTCCAGAACACCTTGACCTCTTTTCAGCGAATCGTCTTCAAGCCTCAGGTTGTGGGCGTGGCCTGTCAACACTTTCAGTTCATCTGTGAGCTTCTGGACCAGCCCCCTCTCCTGCCACTCCTCCGTGTTATGATTGGTCAGCGTGCGCAGCAGAGAGCTCTGAAGCGCCTCCCACCGCAGGAAGTGCTCCGTGAAGTCCGGACAGTTCGGGTCCAGGAAGATGCTGATTGGTTCCCCGTCTGCAGCGCGGGACACCGTCACCAAGGCCCCGGAGTCTTTGGTGTTGGTGGAAACCACAGGTGAGGAAACTCCGCCCCTGTTACCACAACAACGCCAGATGAATATTGAAACGAAATATAGAAGCAGACAGGTAAACGAACAGGTGTGTTACCTGCTGATGAAGGGCAGAGGGTAGTGGTTCAGGTAGAGAATGACAACTGTTGATGTGACGATGGCTGCCGTGACAACCACAACAACAACAGACCATAATAAGAACCTGCGGCACCTCTGAAAACACACAAACACACACACACGCACAAAGACTTATTTAATTTTGTCCTGATGCATCTCAGTAATCCACGTGGAAAAAAATCAAAAAGAAAACATAAGGCAGGTTGGCATTCCTGGATTGTGAGGTCTCAGTTTCGGATGGAGGACGGTTAGAAACTGACGTGTATCGCAAACCCACCCATACAGACCAGCATTTGCATTTTGATTCCCATCACCCACTGATGAACACAAGTTAGGAGTCATCAGGACTCTGTACCACAGAGCAGACAGTGTCCCCACAAACACAGGAGCCAGAGAGAAAGAGAAATCACACACACGACAGGCCCTGGAGCAGTGTGGTTATCCTGACTG